CTTGTAAAATTAAACTTAGCTCAATTTATCTTCCTCAAAATGTTTTACACTCTTTTTTGTCTGAAAGTATGCATTAAATTCACAGGAACTGACATGTAGCTCTGAGTGACCAAAAAGGGTACTTCTAAGGAAATAACCAATTAATCTAAAATGTTTTAGCTTTTTTTGTTCCATATTATTTTGCTTGCTGTAAATCATGGTGTAGCCTCCTCCCAGACAAGCTCATTAAAATCCCCTTGGAATTGTGCTTGTGTTTAAAAGGGCTCTTGATACCATTTTATGTCAAAGAGAAAGAGGAGGATGGAAGTGGAAATGTGCCACATGAACAAAGTGCTTAGCTGGGAAGAGAACACTGATGATTAGGCTGTGCAGCCAGAACTGGTCTTAACTGCATGTGTGTGCTTTAAGGGCTTTGAGAACTGAGCTCCAGATAAATACGTTTTTTCCCCCCTCGATGTTTTTCATACCAGAGAGACTTGAATTTTGTCTTTTGCCAGTATAATTTCAGTGTAACTACACAGAAATCACTAGATGAGAGTAAATGCAGACCATCGCCTCTGCATAATAATAAAAACCGTTATTACATGATCTTCAATTTTTCACCTCTCTTAGAGTGCAGGTGTCAGTGCTATGAGGCTTAAAGAACTTCTTATGTACTATATTCCAGGTCAACTCTTGAAAAGAAAGCAGCAGCATTTCATCATCAAAGCTATGTGGTCATCAAAAGATTAGTGCAAGTTCCTGCTCAGTGTTCGTTTGGGTTTTTTTCCCATTAGAGATTACCTTGTGATTAGCAAGCTGGTAGGTACTAGTGAACATGAATGTCTGGAATACCTTTATATAAAAACAAGTCACTATTGTCACTGGATTATTTTTGAGCAATGAGCATATCTTCCTGTTGCAACATCTGTTTAACTAGAATGTTTCTTGAAAAACATTTTGATTGTGATGTTTTGGAAAATGATCAGCTACCAGCTATGAACATTAAAAGGCTGAGAACACAGAGAGGAAATAGTTTGCATGAGAGCATGTTTACTCCTAGCAACACCTGGCTTGTTGGATAAATGTAAGCTTATTCATACTCTAATAGAGGTTTTGCAGTAAAACCGCGATCCTCTCAGTGGTGAGCTCCAACTGTAGCGTAAGTACAGAAAGCAAGAGACCTGCCTGGAAAAAAGCAAAATGCATGGCCAGATACTAGATGCAGAATGAAAGAATCTGAAAGGTTTAGGGTACCAAAAATTTGTTTCAGAATGGAATTTTGCAGACAGTTTTGCAACGCTGTGAACAGCCAGTGATCTCAGATGCTTAATTTCAGTGGAGCAGTAGAAAAAACCCAAACCCAAAACCCCCTTTCATTGAACTGCTGGGTTCAGGAATTTCTGTGCATTTGAAATCCATGTTCTGAAATGCTGCCTAAAATTGCGTATTTTATTATGCATACTGGCATTACCTGCAAGCATTAAAATACTATGAGTATTGCCCCAGTCATGAGGTTGGCCTCAGTGCTAGCAGACAGTGGCAATAAGATGTACAGCCATGACTTTCACTTTTAAGTGGCCTAGGTTTGTGACAAGAAACACAATTTGGGATGATTCTCCTAACATTCTGAGTAGAATTCAAGGACTTTGGAAAAATGCAGCAGAGCCAGTCTCCGAAGAAGTACTCTCAGACTTTGCTGAAGAGACAGATCAGGCTGCAGTGCTGTGGGGAGCTTTAATCCATGCTATTAGAAATTCAGTAAGACTCAATGTGACTGAGATGAGCTGAAGCCACTTAGACACTCTTGAAAATCTCACCTATCATGATGAAGACAATAGTTATGAATGTTAAATATTGTTATTAAATATTGTTGTTAAATGTTGTTCTTTCCTCTAATAATGAGCTTCCCAAATTTCAGACCAGTCAGGTCTGCATATATAGTGGAAAAGGGAAACTATCACGGCTGCTCCTTTGTTTTATTTACTGTTGATTTGGATAGTGTCCTCAGAAGGCTTCTGTGTCTGTAAACTTCCACTCCTCTTGCAAAGCAGATGGTCTCACCCACACTGCCTGCCCAGCAGCTCTGTACCCAGGGACGCACTCCCCCACACTATGCTAGTGCATGTGCTGCCAGACACGGTTATGGGCCAAAACTGTGCCAGGAAGCATGCTAACACTTCGACAGTATGGATGACTGCAAAACAGTGCATGAGCGTGCTGCCTGGCCATGTAGCTTACGAACACAGTTACAGGGTTTGTGATACCATAGCTTCATGCCTCCCGTACTGGGGAACAGAGCCTCTGTCAGCTAGCAGGGCAGTCACGGCAGTGGCATCTGCATGCTGGGTGCAGCAGCTGAGGGAACACATAGTGCACCCGGTACATAAAATCCCTGTGGGGTCCTCACACTCCTCTGCTTTCTGAAAGTGGAACAGCTGCAAGAGCTGAGGAAGGAGCTCCACAGACCTCTAGCCAATGTCCCACTGCTTTAGCTGCACCATTGCTCATCTTGTCTGCGGGAGACTGGGTTGACTCCAGCAGAGAGATTCAGTGCTAGACACTTCCTACTTTTCTCTTGGAACTTCGTTCTGTTCTTAATTAACACATCGGCGTTTGGGCCAGACCCTAATTGCACAGCTCAGCGGTGCTGTCATTTTCCTGGCACGGGGCTCCAGTCAGTGCTGTGGCCGAGACGGAGGAGGCAGGGAGGGCAGAGAAGCGCTGACTCCAAGAGACACCTCAGAGGAAGGCAGAGCACGAGGCCAGAGTCACTAACCCGACTCAAGGAGTCCGAAGTCAGGATGTGAGGTATTACTCTTCAAATTTGGGACTTAGCTGTAGGCGCCTATATGAGGCTGGCTCACATAGGCTCCTGCTAGGCACCCACAATGACCAGACTTTGGGATAAGCTTCAGTTGTCTGTTGTGGTCAGAAAGAGAACTGAGAGCCTAGGAGGCTTGATGGTTCAATTCTGTCACTGGTGTTCAGGAGATGCAGGTTTAAATCCTTCCTTTTGTGTCTGTTTCTTTATGCCAGGCAGAAGACTTGCAGTCTCAGGCAACATGGAGAAGAGCAAGTGGCTCTCAGCTGTGACAGGCCTGTCCTCTTAGCAAGAGCTGAATATGTAGCTCAAATAAAAGCAGAAGCAGCACAAAACAGAGAACTTCTTTCAGAGTAGACACAAGACATTAAATCACTGTTTTCAGATTTGGGGGATGCCTCTGAGGCAGGGAAAACAGACTTACAAAATAACCCACTGAACATGCACGCAAATTGGCCTCCTTTATCCTTCAGGACTCAAAGCATGCTTCTCTCAAAAGTTTTGGGGTTTGGAGGGTCTTGGTCAACCCGTGTCTGTTAACTTTTTTTTTTCATTCCCTGAAATTTGCAAATCCCTTCTTTCTTTTCCTTTCTTGGCTACAGGAATTTTGCACTGTGAAGCAGAAGTTCCCAAGCTGGGAACTTGTGCTTTGGCACACCCTGAATGTCCTGTAATATGAACGTTACATGAGCAAAAAGGAAACCGTTTTTGTGTCATTTAGGCTTCCAGCAGCACAAACTTCTTCCTGTTGCCACCTAAGAGCAGGAGGAGCTGGATGACGAGGGCTCTCCCTTTTCTGAAGAACCTCAGTTTACAGAACAACATGAATGCTCAGGTGGGTGGGATGGCTGCTACCCATTTCCAGCTGTACCGAAGGTGGCAGCGTGTTCAGGCCTCCCTTGGATGTCTGTGAGCCAGCAAGTGCCTGGCGCAGTCGGGAGTTGCACAAGTAGGTGGAAAGATAATCTGTGCTCTGTAGAGGTCTTTGACCTGTGTTTCATCAGGTGCTGTTGTCTTGTACCACAGGCCAAAGACCTTTGGGGGTTTAACCTCCTGGTCAGGGTGGGTCCCGTCAGAGCAGGCCGCTAGCCTGTGATGAGGAGCTGTGAGAAGGCTCATCTGGAGCCTTCCCCTGTGCACCCTCTGCCCCCTGGCCTGGCACCTGCCTTTAAGCCCTGGCCTTGGCCCCGGCCCTTGCGTGGGCTGTGGTGTCGGTGTGCCATGCCTGGCCCTGTACCTCGCTGATCCTGATGTGGCTTCCTGGTGTGACCGGGGACCTGCCTCGTCCCTGCAGCCTGGCCTGGTGGTCGGCAGACTCTGGCTGACCCTTTCACCGTTGCAGCACCTGCTCTGCTATCCTTGCTCGGGAGCAGTGGGGCAGCGACCTGTCGGTGTGATGCCTGCCTCGCCCCCACCTGTGGCACCTGGCGTGCCTCCTGCCAAGAATCCCCGCTCCACTGCTCCCCTGCACCCAGAAGGGGCAGAGCAGGGTTGGGAAGGTAAAGCCCAGGATCACACAGGGATGTTCTTGCTGCAGCATCTTCTGCAGTCAGCGAGGCAGTGTTTCAGAGGAGTGGAATACATAAACCCTCAGTCTGGTGCACATGTGTTTCAAGAGGCAGAAGGAAAAGAGGTATGTGGAGGCACATGTGTTATCCGGTGTCTGTATGGGTGTAACTTTGTGCTGTGAATGTGTTAATTAGTCAAAATGAAGACGTATTCAGGAGTTTCCAGGAGTTCAGGCCTTCTCTTGCATTGTACACAGGTGCAGAAGCCCTGTGGACTTCAACTTAAACTTGCCTGCTGCACATGAAAGAAGGTTTTCCTGGCTTAGCATAATCTTGCTCTTTTCTTTAATACACTAGTCTGACTTATGAATACTGAAGCAGACAGAATGCAGAATTTTCATTAGGTTGGATTATTTGCCTTGTAATGCAAGGAGAAAAATAGTCCAACTCAGTCTGCGTTCTCATGTAATAAATCATATTCTCTAGCATGCATGAAATGCAGGAGGGCACCCAGTGATTTGTAGAGAAATACTGCACTGTTTTCACAGGAAGGTGTTTTAAAGGTGTCTGAGAATTGCAGATGAGCAGTGTGAGAAATGATATGGGGAAAGGGTGTATTACTTGATACCGTACTTTAAAAGCACCTCTGGGACCTGGTTATGACTTTCAGTGCCAAGAGGCACCTTTGTGTTAAAGAAATGTATTTATTTGGAATAAGGCATGTTCATGGTGCTAATGCATAATTGATAATCGATGTAATTAGGTATTACATTACATATAAGCCTGTATTATTACAGGTAGTTGCTACAAAAGCACATGAAATTCAGTGTGCATTAGAGCGTTTTTTAAATTTAAAGAGAAAAATTGAGGTGAAACAGGCCATCCACCTCCTCTATAAATTGCTTCTTGCAAGATACCTTTGCTCAGGGATGAGTCCAGATTAACATATTCTCAGGCAATCCCTTTGCACTCAAGTACGCAGCTGTGCTGTCCCAAAGATGGGCTTTGTGGGAATTCCTGTCTGCCTCAGCACTAGGAGATGGAGACGATGTGACATACAGCCAAAGCAGCCCTTTAGACTTCTAGAGCTGCATCTCTGCTTGTTAACATTCCATGTTATGTGGGTAAGTCCCTGCTGCAGGTGTGGGATAAGCCCTTAGGTGTGCTTGGAAATGGTGGCCTGGAAGCATCTGTCTTAGTTCTGCTCTGAATTGAACCAGCTGAACTATGCTCACACATGTTCTGTTTTCACTCGTGCCACTGGGAAATGAGAATCAATTTTTGCTTTTCACTGGGTGCTTCTCTGCCCAACGACTGCATCAAACTTGGCATTGGTCAGCTTTTTCAGAACAGCCACGGCACGTTCTGGAAACAACCTGAAAGAGAGAACTTGAAATTAAATGTGGGATAAGAAACTTAAATTATGGGAAAAAGTGGCACTGCAGGTGAGGGAAGAGCTGGTCTGGGAGCAGAATGTGTGCACACACACAGACTGAGACTAAGACTTAAACCAAGCAATATTTCCAAAGAATCCAGGAAGTTTTAATATTGAACATAGACGTGTGCATTTGCTTTCTCTCCGCTTTCAAAAGCTTATCTGGTTAGTTTGGGGAATTCTTGGGGGGAAAAAAAACCCCAAACGTCTTTACACCTCAAAAAGAAATTTGGGGTTAGACCCAAGTTTTCTGGCTTTCACAAACAAGAAATTACCATGCAGGTGAGAAGAGCTGGTCTGGGAGCAGAATGTGTGCACACACACAGACTGAGACTAAGACTTAAACCAAGCAATATTTCCAAAGAATCCAGGAAGTTTTAATATTGAACATAGACGTGTGCATTTGCTTTCTCTCCGCTTTCAAAAGCTTATCTGGTTAGTTTGGGGAATTCTTGGGGGGAAAAAAAACCCCAAACGTCTTTACACCTCAAAAAGAAATTTGGGGTTAGACCCAAGTTTTCTGGCTTTCACAAACAAGAAATTACCAGGTGTTTCATGAGATACTGTAGAAATTAACTGAAAACTTAATTTAGTTGTTCTGATGTTAATTTTAGGTTTGGAACCTGAGCTCTGATGAAAACACCTCCTCAGCAGAGCAGCTACGCTGTATATTAAAGACATGTGAGAGGACAAATCCTGCTTTATATGGCAGAGCTAAGCAATAGAGCCCTTTTAAAGCAATTTTCCCAGCCTCTGTGACCTCCATCTTTGGTGTTGACATGAAGAAACAAATACTAATAAGCGGTGGGTCCTCAGCTCTGTCTGGAACTTCTCTGAGGCTGCTGTTTCAGAGAAAGTGTTGTTTGCAGGCAAAAGGGAAATCGCAATCTGTGAAGAAAGTGTGTTTTTTTGTTCTCCCCCTCCCTCCCTAGCAGCCTATAGAGCGGTCGAGTTCTCCACCGAGAACAGTTAGCTGCAGAAAGTGGGTCATAATGACCTATGAGAGGACTCAAGAAAATCTTTCTGTGTATGATGTCTGCTGTTGTCATTAGAAAGAATCACTGCACTATTTGGTTACCTTGTGATGTGTTCTAAAATAAAACTTAATTTTGAATCAGAAGTTACAAGTTTGAGGGTTCTACACTCAGCAAGTTATATTTGATACATGTAGGTTTTTTTTCGGTTTTGGGGTTTTTTTTCCTACTTACCTTTCAAGAAGTAAAGCAACACGTTGATTTGATGGAACAAAAATCATTTTCTGGTTGGTCAGTATTCCTTCCATCAGGGCCTCTACAACTTCTTCAATCTCCAAAATCTTTCCAAGCCTACACAGGAAAGTATACGTGTAAGAGCTATGGTGGTAAAACAGGGGCGGTACTAGCTGATGTAGGATGCTTCACATGGGCACAAACTCAGGTAATTCAAATGCAACCATAATGTGGGTTAAATGACACTGCAGATTTTCTGTAGCCAATGCTATATACCGATTTATCTCCGGTTTTATATAGTCAGTTGGAATACAAGGCCTAAAGGTGGGGCTAGTATGTAGTGCCTCGATGCAAAGAAGGGCGGGCAGGAAGGCAGAGTTCTGATAGTTACCTCGTACTGGGGTTTTTGACAAATCCAGTGTTTATAAAAACCGGACAAAGACACGTAGTTTTTATTCCGTCCTTTCCCAGGGTAGACAGCTCCTCTGTCAGAGCTTTGTGAAATCCAACTGCAGCAAACTTGCTTGAACTGCGGGAGGGGGAAAAAGCACAAATGAGAAGAGAAGGCAGAAATACTATTTCTAGCTTTCTACAAAGGGAAATGGCCTAAAAGATCACACAGTACTGACTAGGAGGCAAAAAGAAAATGTAATCCAGCTGAGAAGAGAGGGCAGGGAATAATTCTAACCTTCCCTGTGCCAGAGTGTAGTGCTGGATTAGATATTGCTGCTTGGGGGAGTAATTGTGGCATGCAGAGTGGGTGTCTTTCAGAAAAAGTTGCCTTAGCTGCAAACAGACAGATGAACGTCAGGAATTCTTAGAAAATGGTAACTAATGTGCCTCAATCGATGGACTTCCCGTTTTTCCCATGTGAGAAGAGTCTCAGAAGGAACGCAGCCTGAATCTCTAAAATTAAGAAGGATGGGCAGGGTAGAAATGGAGAACAACCCTCTACTGTTTCTCGTGCCACACAGGAGCGTCTTGTGACACTCGCGTGTGAGTTTTGAAATAGAGGAGCATTATGCGTGCAAAAGTTGAGGAACTTACTGCCACAGAAATTGGTGCAGGCCAGGAGTATAAATCAACTTCAAAGAAAGTTGAACCAGAGAATCAGTTTACTGACTGCTGTTGATTTGAACAGTGTAATCCCAGTAAAATCCCTGGCTGGGGAGTTCTCACGTTGCCGACAGCGAGCGACTCTCTAAGAAGGAGCGTTCCCAGGGGAAGATTGCTCCGCCTGGAGCTGCTATTATAGAGGGCTAGATCTGACACAGAATGACAATATGCAATCTAACAGCTTTTCTGTTCGTGCACCGTGACTCGAGTGCTTCTAGTAGAAATAGGCAATGCATCGACCTCTCAGTTGCATCAGTTAGGTTGCTCACAACACAGTAAGCATCGTCATGTTTTTGCCTTCTGAAAGGTAATTTTGCAGTCAAAAAGCAATTTTATCTCACGATGGCAGAAGTATTTCTATACACTAGTCACTACCACAATGGTAGAAAGATCAAAAGCTACTCATTAGGGGTTTACTTGACAACACTACAACAACTCACAGGAGTGCTACTTTCTAAGAATGACAAGGGAAGAGGATACCTTTTTTGCCAAGCAAAAGTCTGGATCAGTGAGGGAGAGAAAAAAGAAGCTTGCATTAGCTGATGTGTCACATGACTATTCCTTCATACAAGCATTGCTCCTGATTCAGTCAGAGCTCATAAGCAAATCGGCAGGAACTTCCAGGCATCCTTAAGTGCTGGCTGTTGTGCTCTTTTCCTCCTTGGCATGGTCCTTTGGACGTACCGTATTCAGCAGGAGGACTATTTCGGTTACTCTGTGCTTTCTGATGGAGAAGACGCAATTAAAAATAAAAAAAATGAAGAGAGCCGATTTTAAAATCACTTACCAGTAAGCCACCATGAAAGAAGTCACAAAATGACCTGCTGCCGAAGCCACCGTGACAACGTGACCGTGGTTGTTGTTCATCATGGTTGGTAGAAAAGCTCTTGTGGTCTTGAAAGTCATGGAAACCAAGAGGCAAACATGGGGGCGGGGGTAGAGGAGGAAAAGAACAATGTTTTCTTAGGCAGATTCAACACTGACCCTGAAGTCGACTATAAACAGGAGCCGATTCTCACATCCTTCCTGTGCCGCTTTTTAGGTTTCAGGTGTCAGCGGCAATGCTGCCAGTGTCTCACCCCAGCACGTACAATAAAACACTCGCTCAGCAATCTGTAGCATCTCTTTTCTTCTGCTGCAAACAACAAGTCCTTAACAGCTGAAACCCTCCCACTCTGTAACCCCTGCTGGCAGCTGCCCTACCCCAGGGGTCAGCTGCAGGCATGCCAAAGACCCAGGGCTCAGCTCTGATAGGGCCCAGCTGTGTCACCTTGACTCAGGCTGCTGGGAGAAAGTCCGCAGAGAGATGAGAGAGGTACAAAACACGAGGAGAGGCGGGGTTGATGATGGGAGACGGGCTCAGAAGTAGCTCAAGGAGACAGGAGGGAAGGTGGCGACACAGCGAGGTACAAACCGCGAGGGGAAGAGCACCCAGGGAGATCGGCTGGGCTGGTGGGTGCAGTCAGGGAGGGGCCAGGCCTCGCTGTGCCCTGCAGCTGGGCTGTGCTGGGAGCTGTGGGGCTGGCCCTCCCCTCCCCTGCTCTGCCCGACCCGCACCTGCCAGGCCCTGCCTGGCCATTCGGGCCACGTGCCGGCTGCCCTTTGTGCGGTTCAGCCGATAAAAACATTGCTTTGTATGTTTCAGCTGTGTATCTTCTACTTGCAGGGTCTCGGCGCTATGCTGCAGGTGCCGAAACTACCCGATGCAAAGAGAACCCTAATACACCTCTGACAGAGACCAACCCATGCTGCAGATGAGGCTGCCACCGGCTAGCTCACGCAGAGGAAAGAGAGAATGAAAAAACTGGGCCAGGCTCAGATCAGCAAGAGGATAATCAGGTTTCCCAGCAGTCAGTCTAGCTGGGTGCCCCTGTGCTATACATGTCCGAAAGACGCTTCTGTAATTCACTGGTTGCTGAAAATAATTGTTAGTCTAACTATGCCTCCTCAGCAACGCTCCCCAAAAAACGTAGGTATGAAGATGGTAGTGGCCCTTACCCAGATGTGAGCAAGAATGTTGACTTCAAACATTCTTTCAATCTGGTGGTCCTGAGTCGAGAGCAGGTCGGCAGCTGTAATCACGCCAGCGTTATTCACCAGGATGGAGACATCCCCAATGTCCTTTTTCACCTTTTGGACAGAAAAAAGCCCAGAAAGGTGCGTGTCATTAGTTATCAAAAAAATGCAAGGCTGTGGAAGATGAGCGACAATTTAATTCTTAACGTTGTTCCTTTTAGGGAGAGGAAGATGGCGCCACATTTCCAGATGTGGTAGGAACTGTGCAGTAGTACCATGAAAGCTGGTTTAGCTCTGATGCTTCTCCCTTAATTACTGCCAGTATTTACAGTCTTCCACACGTTGCCCACAGACACAGTATGCTCTGCGTACTCACAGTTGGGACTATGGACGTACAGACTGTTTTGAGCCAGCTGGACCATATCCTTTACAATAAAATGTTTCAAATGTCCCCAGTGTTGTCTGTGTGCTGTTCAGGAAACTAAAAAGCAGAAGTTCCTTCAGGAGCTGGAAGCCTAAAGAGCAAACTTGGCAACAAGGCGCGATACGCCAGAGCCTCACAAAAGAGGATGAGACTGGCTGCGATCTCGGAAGTGCTACTTCACTCTCCGTACAGAAAGCAGCCAGAAGCGGGGAGAGTCCAAGGGCTGGCATGACTTGTGTACAGTACCTCTTCTCTTGTTTGCCTGACCTTTCTGAAAACCGAGCACGTTTGGGTAAGCCTTTGGACGTGCCCCTGCTCCCCTACCTTCTCTGCAGCGCTGTAGATTTCCTCCCTTTTGCTGCAGTCCACCACGAAGGCTTGAACAGTGGCTCCCAGCCTTTCGCATTCTGCTGCCGTGTCCTCGACGCCATGCTGTAAGAGGCAGAAAAGACAGACATGCATGCGCAGCTGTACCCTGCCCGCGTGTCGCTGCTCGGGCATGGCGGCAGACCAGTTAGAGGCTGAAGATTTGTCCTGATTGCATAAACGCTGCCAAGCCCTGGAACGGTTCATGGCTACCCAGGGAAATTCAAGCTGTAGCCGGGGTCCGTGGGAGGACTAGTATTCCGACCTTAAATTTCAGACCTGCGTAGAGTGACCGCCACAAAGGGAATGTGGCAACAAGAGTGAGTTTGCCTTGGTAAAGCACACGTAGCTAGGCTGCAGAAAGGGGGCACTCGGTGACTTTCACAGCACGGCAGGCAGACACCGTGACTGTAAGCAGAGCTCTTGAAACACAGGCCCAGCTGACGCCCCCGAGATACGAAAAGTGGCCCTATGCGTTTCTGTATTCACAGACTGGATGTGAGAAGAGAAGTGTGCTCCAAAGTGCACAATGTAGAGAGACGCTTCTTGTGAGAACAGCGTTTGACACACACAGAAGCTCCCCTGTGTCATTATTTATCAACCCACTAAGTGAGGGCAGAAGTGACTTTGCTGTAGCCTTGTCCCCAGGTGCCAGAAAGCCATGCCAATGGGAACCCGTGCAGTGAAAAGCCCCAGTTCACAAATGGCCTGGGACAGCTCAGCACTTGACAGAAGCTGTGCAGGTCCCTGGGGTGGGTGACCGGGCAGCTCCACGCAGCCCCAGCTGCTGCTTAAGGCTGATGGCCCCCAGGAATGAGGCCTTTGTCAAGGCAGTTGGATTGGGGAATCATAGAATCATAGAATAGTTTGGGTTGGAAGGGACCTCTAAAGGTCATCTAGTCCAACCCCCCCGCCGTGGG